TAAATTTCCATAGTCATTTATAAATAATTGTAGTATTCTACAAATAAGTACATGTTTTAAGTACTTAAAATCTTGTTTTTTCATTTTTAAAATTTGTAAATTTTTGTACTATTTTCTAAAAAATTGTGGATTTTCATGAAATATTACTTTTATCATTTCCTTGATTTTAGAAAATTGTAATTTGTGGTATTTTTGCGTAGATGTTTCTACCTTAAAATAAATATTTTTACAAAAATAAACAAATTTTTACGAAATAATACAAATTTCTACAAAATTTCTATTTTTGTAGTTTTTTGTAGTTATTCATCAAAATTTTTTCCGCTAGGGAAGATAAGATTTTAATGTCAATAGACAATGAAAATCAAGCATCTTCAAATTCATCATCATTGCAAAGTAATATAATTTTTCTTACAATCTAACTTTTTAAGAAGTAATTTTTGCACATACTCCTTTTCTTTTATATCTATTATATATGTATATATATATATATACATATATACACTATTTATATTTTTTTTAATATATATTATTATATAGTATGTCCAGCAAAGATGTTATCGAATGAAGACCGAGATTTGCTGATGACAACACTAAGCTACCAAGTGTTACACTTGCTAATACTTAGCTAAATGCAGTTTTTGATTGGTTTCTGCCCTTCCGCATTCTGTTTTTCCACGTCAATGTGAATCCTCTCTAATTTATATAATTGTTATATGTATTTATGTACATATGTTATATTTTCTGATCATTAATTAATATTTTTACAGAACCGATTGTATCTAATATAGATAGAGATTTGCTTAGAGACGTGTCAAGTAAACTTGATATGGTATTAATAAACCAATGTCGCATCTTAAATGAAATATTTCCTAATGAAACTAATGTAGAAAGACACGAAAATTGTCCCCCTCTTCCATTACGAGATGAACAGTCATTTGAACCATTTAACGAATTTTTGAAGGACAAAATTGCATATTCTCAGTTTGTAAGTATACAGGGTGATTCAGAATAATCCCAGTGTCCCTGTAAAGGCGTATTCTTGACTCAATTCTAAGATGATTTTTCCGTTACAAAAATTTTGTCCGAAGCTTAGTTTTCAAATTATAACGAGAAATAGTTAGCGAATTACGGGCCGCGTATGGATGGTAGACAGGGGCGGCGCAACTTACTGTCCGCCGGCAGGCGGTACGCGGGACCGTCGCGACGATCAGCTGACTACACGCGCGCATAAACATGCGTTTACATTCTTTCTCTCTCTCTCTCTCTCTCTATCTATCTATCTATCTATCTATCTATCTACCTATCTTTTTCACACACACACACACACACACACACATGCGCGTGCACGCACACACAAATTACCTTGTAAAGATTCGATGACTCGTGATATAGCTTCGTGAGAAAAACGGAATTTCCATGTCGATGGACCACGTATAGCGTCCAAATAAACGTTTATTTTAATAAATTTTCGCTAGTTTTAATGCAGACGTTATCACTGACTAACACAGATCAGGTTATTATTTAGTTAATTCTTCTTTTTTACATAACGTGTCACTTCAACATTTCACACTCGATTCACATACAAACAATTTACTGGGAGAAAACGCGAGAACTACTAATGCATCTATCGGTTACGAACTTTACAATCACTGTTGATTAAATTATCCGTTCACTGAAGTACATCACACGAAGAAACACACGGCGATTTTTTATTAATACACGACCCGTTCACTCGAGGATAGCAAACAGACGATTGATTTTAATATCGAATTTATTAGTTAATTATTATCAATTCGTATCGATTAATCATTTGTCGACTAAAAAGATCACTTGAAAAGAGAAACACACGACGCGTGCACTGATAGCAAGCAGTCGACTGACTTTAATACCGAATTTATTAGTTAAAGATTATCAATCCTGTGTCTATTAATTATTCGTCGACTGAAAAATCACTCGAAAAAGGAAATACGCGAACAATTTATTAACACACGACAATTTACTGACACACGAAATGTTCACCCGACAATAGCAAGCGGTCGACTGACTTTAATACCGAATTTATTAATTAATAATTATTAATTCCGTGTCTATTAATTATTCGTCGACTGAAAAATCACTCGAAGAAAGAAACACGCGCACAATTTATTAACACACGACAATTTACTGACACACGAGACGTTTACCCGACGATAGCAAGCAGTCGACTGATTTTTATTGGTTATGTTTGCAGCGCTGTTTGCGCTGTCGAAAGGCGAACATGTGTTTAGTTGAAATCTCACAATCAGAGCGCGGCAAATTCGGCACAGAGTGCACTGAACTTAACGATGAAGACGTGAAAAAAAGAAAAGATTTAAATATCAAATATTAACAACTTATTGAAAAAAAAAACAATATACGGTATTACAGGAACGCTCATGTAATGCCGTATAATATTGGTTTTTTTTTCAATAAATTAATATTTGATATCTATTTCTTTTCTTTTTTTTTCTCCTTCCTTAAGCTTTTCTACGTAAGAAATGTTCCACGTAAAAAAATATTGAGATCGGAAGAGCACAC